TTTGTTCAGGCAGTGCAGCTGGGGGCATCAGGGCTTTGAAAACAAAAGTGCTGGCTGGTAAGAGAAAATCAAAATAATCCCCACTAAGCTCCCATTATCTTAAGAATTAGAAACTCTAATGAGAGGCTTCTAGGGCAAGTGGAGCAGCAGGGGAGCACCTCTGATGGACGCTGTCCTGAGAGGATGTCACTGCTGTCATCATCATGCACAAGCCGAGTGCCCGAGCACTCAGTTCCCCAGCCCCCATGACTCAGGAATCCTGCTGAAGACAGAGACCCAGCCCCAGGGCCCAGCTGGCTTCCAGGGAGCCCCTCCACCTAAAGAAGGATTATCTTCAATCCTGAATTTGCCTAATAGTTCCCCAGAAACTCTCTCTGAATATGCTTAACTTTTATAGTCCGGGATTCCTTTTTTTTTTTTTAAGCTTTATTTTATTTTTATTTAAAAAGCAGAGCTATGGAAAGAAAAGATAGAGTATTTCCACCCACTGGTTCATGCCCCAAATGGCCACAATAGTCAGAGCAGAACTGATCCAAAGCTGGGTACAGGAAACTCTTCTGGGCACTCCTATGTGAGCACAGGGTGCCAAGGCTTTGGGTCAACTTTTGCTGCTTTCCCAGGCCATAAACAGGGCTGGATGGAAAATGGAATAGTTGGGACATGAACTGGAGCTCATGTAACCTAGTGCTGCAGGCAAAAGCTTAGCTTACTACACCACAGTACCAGACCAACCCCAGCCCCAGATTCTTTTAAGTATAGTTCTTAGAGAACTCCCTCACTTCTATGATCCTAAAACTGGGTTCTCATCAGCCTATTTCTGGATGTTTTTACTAAAAGAAGGTTGCTGAGGCATGCTTCTTTCCCCTGACAATGAGCAACTACGGGACCTGGCAATGATTTCCAGGGTCTTCTATGCTCAGACCACATCTCCTCATCAGCTCTGTGTCACCTCCTGGCACAACAGGGCCCAGTAGTAAGGCATCATCTCCCAGCTCTGAGCCAAGAGCATGCTCAACAGCACTTAGCCCTGTACAGGGAGTCTGTGGGGGCTCTCTAACCTCACTCCCCACGCTGCTGCCAGAGCAAAGAGGAAGATTATCAGGCAGCAAGTCAGTGTTTGTTATTATTACCCTGATGTGTCATAAATCCACGTGGTGCAATAAATGAAGGCAAGGCTCTGTTCTCACTTTGCAGGCTGCCAATAGTTTTATTGTAACAGCTCAAAGATGCGCGTTTTCCTTTTTAGGCAGAGTAGAGGAAGCTGTGAAATTCAAAGAGCAAAACAAAAGGATGCTCCCTGCAGTCTATGAGCCAGGTACTATCGCTGAGCCAGCTCATCAGGAGAGTCAGATGTCTAATGTTAGAAAATGGCAAAGCCTTCCAAAGCCCACAAGCACTCATCTGAATTCATTTCCATGCCAACGTCTCAGTGCTGTCTTGTTCCCGTACGCACGGGACTTCGAGGTTTACTTTCAGTGATAAACCTGAGCTGATTATAACATCACAAATTGCTTCTGGAACTCATTAAAGTTGGCAAATGAGCATTAGTGAGACACTTGCAGAGGCTGAAATTGTGATCATCTGTCCAATTCGGCAATTAGAGCTCAGGGGGTGAAGAGAGGGGCGGTGAGAAACCTTCCAGCTCCCAGCAGGATTATGATCTGTTTCAGATGTCTGCGGTGAGAAGCTCCTGCCCTGGCTTTTCTTCCTTCACACCCGTGTACCCCCAGTGCAGAAGGCAAGGGAAGCCCTTGAGAAATGCTTCACCTGTGCACTCTGCCAAGTTCAAAGCCCAAGAGGGGCCTTTAATCACACCCTCTACGTACCTGACACTTCATTAATTATTATGATTTGGGGGTGGGTGGGGGAGGCAGGTCAGAATCCCTCCTCTTTGGTAGCAAATTCTATTTCTGTTATATTTTAGAATCCAGCCCTTTCTCCTTATAAGTTTTCCCACTCAAATGTTAGCCATGCAAGATTTGTTAGCCCTCTGTTTATGGGCCTTCCTGTCTTCACCTGGAATCTTACAGGTTATTTTCCCCTACACTAGACATGTGGGGAGTCTGTGGTCTACTTTACATGTCATTGTACCTTTGGACATTTTAAGCTGTTGAGCACACAGTTGATATTCAATATACAAATACTGATTTGTTTACTTAGAAAATAGTCTCCTAGCACATTCTATATTTACCACCTCTACTCCTCTGGTTAACAATAATGTTCTCTGAACTGTACCCCAAAATCAGGCCCTCCTTATGACCTTTTAATCAAAACTGATCAAACTTCTCTGAGAACCCCCCAATACTAGCCTGCTTTGCTTACATCTCAGTGGTGATCAGCAAATGCTACCACAGAAACCTTGGTTCTCCGAGTTTGGGTGTTCTCACAAATCCAAGGTTTCTCTCTTATTCTTCACCTTTCTACATTCTACCTTTAGTTAATTTATAACCAGTGTAATCAGCAGAAACTTTGCAAAAACTGAGGTCATAATTCCTGAATCTGGTTTGAATTTGGAACTTGGTTCCTCAGCTCAAAATTAATATTATAAATTTGTTGGAAAAATGCTTTCCACTTTCTGAATGTGAACTAGCCTTGGTTATACACATAATGTGGTATCTGGCTTAACACATTATTGAAAAGAAAAGGATATTACTCGCTCCATCCTGGGCCTGTTCCCCTTGCTCAGCTTACCCCAACACACACATGCTCACATACATTCACATATGCACTTACACACTTGCCATGAGTTGCTGAGGGTGGTGAAAATAAAATTGTTCCTTGAATCTCTCTTAAGTAGTTTCATTGTCTGGAAATTATTGGTTCCTAAAAGAGGATATAGACAGAGTAAGGGGGCTTTTGTACAGCCATATAAAGTGGCACAAGCCCCAAGCTTTACTATTTCTTTAAGGATGCTGAGGCGTATGTCTCCCCTGAGGCAAGTAAATAGATTCACATCGCTAAGCATTTATCATGTGCTTACTTTGTACCCAATACTATATTGTCCCTAATATTGTCTTAAATTTCTTGTTCTCATATTCTTTAGGATCTTTAACTTTTTCTCTTTAAGGCAGGTATAGTATCCTCATTGTATAAATGAAGATGCAGGGTCGGCAGAGTGACATGGCTGATAAAGCCACCCCCTGTGATGCCAGCATCTCTTTTGGGTGCCAGTAGAATCTGCTATTGGCTGTTCCACTTCTAATCCAGCTACCTGTTAACGAGCCTGGGAAAGCAGTGAAGGATGGCTCAAGTGCTTGTCATTCACTTGCATGATCCTGCCACTCACCTGCAAGACACAGAAGAAGCTCCTGGTTTTAGTCTGGTCCATTGCTGGCCCTTGTGGGTCATTTGGGGAGTGAACCAGCATGCTGAAGCTATCTCTCGCTCTCTTTCTCACTCTCTCTCTCTGTGTCCCTCCCTCTCATATCCTCTCTGACTTTGTCTTTCAAATACAAAGTGAATAAATCCTTAGGGGGAAAAAAAGAATGCACGCAGCATGACACCAGAGCCTACATGTTTTGTGGCCCTATGCATTATTAGACAAAGTACAGGATGCCCACTTGCATTTGACCTTTAGACAAACAAAATATTACTACATGGAACATATGAATACTGAAAATGCATTTGTTGTTTTTCTGAAATTCAAATTCCACCAAGGATTCGGTATTCTATTTGTTAAATTAGGCAAACCTAATTGTAGAGGCCTTCTATAAATTAAGATATCTGTATTAGGGTTGTTTAATTTGTAGTTTACATAGCTGGAATTTTAATATAGATTATAATGTTAATTCACTTCCACAAAGCAAAGCAAAGCCTCTTGGATTCCTTTTTCCTTCTACTTATTGATGACTGGGTTGGTCTGATGACAATCCTCTCCCTGACAGTGTAGGTGAGTGCAAATTTTTTTTTCTTCATTGTCTATTGGCACCTGCTGGTCTCCTGATTATACTGGGCTCTCTTCAGTGGCCAACTATGTCCTCCCCTGGTACTCATCATTACTCAGCATTGTTGCAGGACTCCTTGACTCTTTTTAAGAGCTGGGGAGCTATATGAGTGAGTAGCTGCTTGCTTCTACATGACAGGGGCACCAGAAGGTGATGGCAAAGAATGAGCTGGTTGGAGTTCAGCAGAAAAGGGCCCTCATCACAAGTCTGCTGGATAAAACATGTAAATAGGCATGGACATACCACCCCAAAAAAACCACTCTTGATTATCTGTGTGTGTTCTTCCCTCTAACATCATTGCAGTGCACAACATCTACCTGCTTAGCTGCCTTCTTTAGCCACTCAGATATCCTGAGCTGAAGAAATGGTGCCTGTTAGTTCAATGATCACCTGGAAGCCAAACATATTGCCCCTCAGATCACACAACACATTAAAGAACAAATACAAAGAACTTCAGCATTAGCTGATCTTGGTGAATGGATAATAGAACAGTGACCATCTATTTACAAGCCTGGATATTGATATCCCATGCCAATATTTAAAACATTTTAATAAAATTGCTATGAACTCAGAATGAAATAATAATGGTAGTTCCAAGATCTATTATGATGTGCAAATATTTTGACATGAGCTAGAGTCTAGAGAAAGCACTTCACATGCATCATTAGTTTTTACCAAAGCCTTACAAAACGTTGCACATTTTTAGAACTGCATTATAGACATAAAAAAAAAAAAACGGAGGCTACAAATAGTCAAGCAATGTGCCCAAGGTCACACATAAGGTTGTTAAATAACAGAACCTGCATTTAACCCTACAGAGTCTTCCTCCAGAGGCCACACACCTGATTACTACCTAGCCAGGCTTCTGCATCATACGGCCAGAAGTCAGAACTTTTGTAGTAAAGAAGTTATTTTTAAATTTTTCAAATCTGTTGCTGACTTTTACTTCAAAAGCATGAAGTGTTCTCTTTGTTAAGCAGTAAAGAATGCCCAGGAGGAGGAGAAGGTGGGTGGTAAGTGGCCTAAATGGTAAGATTAAATGAGGTGCTGCACGATTAGTAGATAGCTTATACCACGTGTGACTCACCACACAGGCTGGACAACAGCTCAGCTGGTCTGCGGCCTGGTTCGACTGCACAAGTCCACGAATCACTGCCTTGGATATTACAGCTGTGGCAAGTCACCAAAAGAGACTCTAAATGCTTATTCTCATTTTCTGTGCTTATCTCAAGGTCAACTGGCAATAAACAACTCATGGATGAGCACCAGTCTGTGGAACACATTTTGAGCAGCACTGCTATAGATAAGATCAGCTTAGCACACAATTAATTCAAATAAGCAAATGACTAATGAATTAGATGACTGACTTATATTCCTTCTCTCTCTTCCTCCTCTCTCTCTGTGACACTTATAGGTGTACACACACACACACACACACATATACACACACACTGTTGAGTATTCCTGAAATGTGTATTTAAAACCTACCACACTTTCTTGGTACTTTTCTAGATTCTCAAAATATAATCATGAACAAGGTAGGTCAAGTCTTTTTTTTTTTTCAGAAAACTTATTTTCTAATCCAACCAATGCTTTAATTCCCAAAAGTCTGGGTACCATATTGAGGCCTTGCCAATTGTATGTGTCTGTGCAATTCATTTCATCCCCCTCTGAGCAAATTTTTCGGGCTACAAAAAGAAGTTGTTAATATCTACTCTAAGGTTGTATTGTTAGGATTAACCTTTTGAAAGCCAGCAAGGTAGAGCAACGCCAGCTCATACTTCTACCATGTCTACCTCTCTGGGACAGAGACCATAGCATTTCTGTCTTTGCCTCCTCGGCAACAAGCTTAAGTGCTTGGCAAGTAGCAAGTCTCTGTGAAGGCGTACAAGACACTGTTCATAACATCCCATGTATGCGGTACACTGTTTAAAATATTGCACCTGTTCATCAAATGCTTCAAATCCAGTGTACTTCCAGGAAAAGTATATTAAGTTATCCCAGGGTACAACATACATAATTCCACTCTTGGGTCATAAGTTTGTAAGAGATCAAGTTCTAAACATACACTTTCTAAACATTTGTTACATAAGAGCTTATTTTATTGATTGATGTCACACTCTGAAAATGTTCTAAGGGCCTTTTTGGTAAATTGATCCTAGAAGTAGTTATGCTGGTGCTACCAGTTCTGGTCATACCCACGCTCAGTAGGGTTACAAGCTGTAGCCAAGTCATAAAAGTCCCCTTGGTTGGGGAAGCATTTGGAAGGAATTCTCAATCAGCAATAACATGAAAAGAAATGTAATTAGTCTATTTCTCTTTAAAAGCTTGACTTTCTTGTTAGGTATGCCTCTTCCAGGATGTGGAGGCATCCTCTTTGACGATGAAGTGATGTTACTATTAGAGTTAGGGACATGAATGCTCTTCAGGTGGCATGAAAGGGTACAGCTCACACAGTGGTTATTTTTACAAGGTATAGGGCTGACACTGTAGGGGGCACTAACAATAAAAACGCAGCAATCTGCATGGAGACATACTTAGTCATAGGAACAAGAGAAATATATAAAACATGCAACGATCCAGCATATCAGTACCATAGTTGAGGGACCTGGAAACAATGGGACTTCAGAGGCAGGGGAAAGAAAATCAAAAGAGGCTGTAGGTAGGAGTGACTGTATGAGACAGATCTTCAAAGATTTCTCCAGCCATTCAGGATAGTAGAAGAGATGGGGATGTGTTTGCCACAGGCAGGACAGCTGAATGAGCTGGCTTCTTTGTAAAAAGTGGTTAGCAGAATTAAAGCAAGTAGTCATTATACGCATCCAGGCATAGGGAAAGGTAACACTGGAAACAGGAGCTGAAGGTACAGAACTCAGCAAATATCAGACTGAGAAGTTCATACTTGACAGTGGGGTCACTCACAATCTGAAAATTGCTTAAAGAAGATAGTCGGAACAATAGAACAAGGAAGAATGAAGGGAAAACACGAAGTGCAGCACTAAGTACAAACCAAGTAGGAAAAAACAGTAAATAGAAATCTAGACTGGTGATAATCAATTCACGACCTTGGCTAATACAGTAAAGATAGAAGAGGAGGGGGACAGGAGCCCCAAGACCTTATTAAACCACCACCTGCAATGTCACCATTTCCTATGGGCACCAGTTCATGTCCTGGTTGCTTCAGTGCTAATATGAGTTGAGCTCCCTGCTAATACGAGTGGTAAAGCAGTGCAAGATAGTGTACATTTCTATGTCCCTGCTACCCACAGGGAAGACCTAGAAGATTCTGGCTCCTGACTTTGGCCTTGCTCAACTTTGGTTGTTGTGACCAGATGGAGAGTAAACAAATAAAACATTTCTGTCCATCTATCTATCTATTTATCCTTCCCACTTTTTCTGTAACTCTTGAAATAAAGAAATAAATCTCTCTAAAAAGACTTTGAGGGGCTGGTGCCAAGGTGCAGTATGTTAAGTAAGCCTCTACCTACAATGTCACCATCTCATGGCTCCTGTCTCAGCTGTTTTACTTCCAGTTTAGCTCCTTGCTAATGTGCCTCCTAAAGTAGCAAAAGATGGCTCAAGTACTTGGACCCCTATACTTCCGTTAGCTACAGGCTCCTATACGCAGCTCTGCATGTTATAGCCATTTGGGGAGTGAACCAGAGGATGCAGGAACTTTCTCTAAATCTGGCTTTTAAATAAAAATAAGCAAATCTTTAAAAAAAAATGTGTCAAACCCAAATCAACATATCTTGTAATTCCACTATTGACAGACTTTTTGAAGTACCCTCACACAACAACCTCTAAAACTAAACAAGGTGTAAAATTCCATTCCCCCGTCACATCAGTCACATGTCAGGAACTCACTTGCCTCAAGTGACTGCTGTAGTGGACTGCAGAAAAAAGAACATTTCCATCATGGTAGACCATGCAGACTGCTACGCTTTGGGGGACCAACTAGGCATAAAGGTGAAGCAGGACTCACCTGAAAACCCAAGAAAGGTTGCACCGTGAGCAGCCAAGATGACATCAAGAGGGGCTGGGTTTAGGAAGAGAGATACTTTGTGTCAGGCAAACACCAAGAGAGATGAAGAGCATGCACAAATCCTGATGAACAGGGTGCAGAGAAAGGCTGGGGAGAGCCAAGAGCCCTGAGGGATCTCTCAGAGCTGGTCAAGGAACCAGGGTCCTAGTGGCTGATCCTCTTCTGGGTCCTTTCTCTCAGTTTGGGCAGCTCCCTTAAGATCACAAAAGACCCCTAAAGATCCCTAAAGACCCCTCCCCAGCCAACCACACACACACACACACACACACACACACACACACACACACACACTCACACGGAGTGGGGGGTGGAATGGAAGGCAGCTGCCCTAGGGTTTTGCTGCCCGCCCCAGCCCCCCAGCTCCTTGGTGTCAGATGTGCTCTTTTTTTCTCACCAGACATTTTGCACTTCCTCTCCCCTAACCACCTCTGGTTTGATCCTTGGAAAGTCCCCTTGCCCTTACTTAACTTAATTGCTTCCTCTTCGAACTGCTGCTTCTTACAGAGGCTGTCACTTTTGGACTTGCCTTTCCTTCTCTCTCAGCTCTGAACCCAGGGTCTGCCACTGTCCTCAGTGGTAGAATTCTCCTCTTCTGTGGACTGACTTGCATCTGCACAACCAGGCCCCAGCACTGTGGCTGCAGAATCCCGCCTGCCAACCCTGAGGGGTCTCCCTTGAAACGTGCAGCCACCAACCCAAGAGGATTGTCAGCGCCATCCACGCCCTTCCCATTGCTCTTCCACTCTTCAAGAGGATTGTCTCTCACCTCCTTCCATCTCCTGCCACAGCCAACAGCCCCTGTCCATTCTTTATTGCAAAATGAGCCAAGGAAAGCATATTGATCATACCTTACCTCCTCAGTTCCAGTCAGGCAGCCAGGACTCGCAGGACTCAGGGAGAGAGATGTACACTCCTACAGTGTGTGTATGTGTGTGTGTGCCTGTGTGCGTACAGGGCTGCTGTAAGCATCACCTTCTGGGTGGAGCAATTCGACAAGTTCCCCTTCCTCTAGGCTACCGTGGCCCACACTGGGCACCGTGTGTTGAGCAAAACCAGGGCTAGAGTTGAGCTCTTCTTTGCCCCCTGCGTCCTACAGAGGCCTGAGCACACCCATCACCAAATGTACTGCCTGCTCAACTGTGTCTGCACTGTACACTTTGCCTTCTCTCTCCAACAGCCTGGGATCCCACACAGCCTGGCCCCTCTCCTGAGCCAGTCCCTTTCATTTCTGAGCGAGGACCCATAGCTCTTCACCCCCTTCAAGCCAGTGTTCCTCCAGCTGTCTTTTGTGTCATCAACTCTAGCTCTCTTCAGGGTCACTCCAACACACCAACAGGAGACATTACTCATCTTCAAGCGTTCTCCCTCAGCCCCAAGCACACCTCTGGCCAATGTCCCTTCTCCGTTGTTGCTTACAGCAAAACTTCTTTCTCTTTCTCACCTCCCATTCTCTCTACACACTCTCCTCAGACTTTTTCCACTCCACAGAAATCGTTTTTGTCAAGGTCACCAGTGACCATTCGGAGGACAAGCACCATGTTTAAGTTGTCAGTCCTCACCCTACATATTTTGGCAGTATCTGATAAGATGCCTCCGCCCCCTCCTGCCTGAAACAATTCTCTTATCTTCCAACACCCACCAGCTCCTCTTCCCGCCTACTCTACAGGCAGCTCCTTCTCTTTTGCTGCTTAACCTCCACGTGTTGAGGTGACACTGGGGCCTCTCCTCCACCCACACCCTCTTCTCTACCTAACTCTGTGTAGACTGGAGGCTGAAAAAGCACTTATATCCTGATGAACCCCAAATGTTTAGAACCAGACTCATACCCAAGTGTCTACTCAACATCTTTTCTTGGGCATGAAGCATAAGACCTGAAAAGCAGAATCTAGATTCGCCCCACTCCCAGTTTGCTCCTCTTTGAGTCTTCTCCATCTTGTTAAATGGCACCAGGAGAACACAGTCATCATCCATGATCTTTCTGTTTCCTCACACACTGCCCCCCTTAAATCCAAATCGGCGCCAGTGAAAGTGTGAATCTAAACAAAACGTTGGAGTGAGTGCTGGACACAGCAGTCTAGGTGACGCGAAGTGGGGGGGATAGCTGCACCCCATACTGGGAGGGGCGCTCAGGTTCAAGTTCTGGCTCCAGGTCTAACTCCAGCTTCCTGCTAAGGCACAGGCTGAAGGCCACAGATGTTGGCCCCAGCGATGGAGTCCCTGCCACTTGTGTGGGAGACCTAAATCCAGCTGCAGGCTCCTGGTCTGGAAAGCTGGCCCAGGAAAAGCTGTTGCAGGCTTGGGGGGTGGGGAGGTGGGGCGTAAAACAGTGTATGGAAAATCTATCTTTCCTGCCTTTGAAATAAAACAATGCATTAAAAAATTAATTTAAAAACTAAAAATTGAATAATGCTCTTCTCAGCCCGGTCCCTACTGCCATCCTAGTTTAGGCTCCCAGGAGGAACCCCCTCTTCTTTGGCCCTCCTGCGGCCCTTGGGGCCTTCCTGTTGTATCTTTTATGTACATCAGCAAGACTCACTTCTTACAATACAGACCAGATTCTGTCACAGCTCTTCTTGCTCCCGTGCCTTCCTGTGACTGACAATGGTCCCCGGGCTCCGCAGGGGTCTGGCCTCTGGCCCGTTGCCCGCAGCTCTGGCTTTTTACGGATCATGTAACCAGACACATCCCACCTCTAGGACTTTGGCTAGCTGATTTTCTCCAAACCCCAGGTTTGCGGGGCTCCTACCATTATGTTTATGTGTATGTGCTTAGAGATCTCCTAAGAGAGCCAGCATCTGATCAAAAAATACACGCTAGGCTCCATTTTTTCGCGGCAACCATCTACACCTACGCTGTTGTCATCTGCGTTGTTTTCTCTCTCCCCCTCACCTTCCACTAGAACCCAAGTTGTACGCGGGCCGCTGCTTCCTCGCCTCCAGCCTTGCAGCACTGCCTGGCACCCAACAGCTGCTCAGGGAGCACTTGTGCAGTGGCTGCGTTCCCTCCAAATTCTATTCCTCCCGAATCTGTAGCCCCTTCCTCCTTTCCTATCCGGCTTCCCCGAGAACGTAAAAACTCCCCGCGCTTTCCCGCTGGCTCGCAGCCTTTCCGGAGCGGCTCCTTTAAGCCGAGTGCGCTGGAGGGGCGGGGCGCCCGGGAGGGGCGGGGCCTGCGTGCTGCGTGCGTGCGCGTTCCGGAGGCGCCGCGCTCCCGAGGCCACCGCCGCCGTCGCCGCGCAGAGCCGGAGCCCCGGCCGAGAGGAGGGAGGAGGAGGCGGAGGAGGCGGCGGAGGAGGCGCCGGACCGGGGAGGGGTGAGTGAGGGGCGGGGAGGCCCCGCGGGCCCCTGAGGGTCGGCCGCGCCGGGGAAGGGGCGGCTCAGGGCCGCCGGTCAGTCCCGGGCTCCCCCCGCCGGTCCTCCTCCGCCTTGGCTCCCGTGTCCGGGGCGGCGGCCCGGGGGCCTGGCCGGCGGGAGGGGCGGGAGCTCGGGGGAGGCCCTGCCGCTGCCGCCGGGGCCGGAGCCGGCCACGCCCGCGGACCGAGCCCGGTCGGCTGGTGGCTGGGCCTGCGGGGAGACGGACGGGAGGGGCCCGGGCCGGGTGTGGAAGAGAAAGAGGACATTGTGTCCCGCACCCTCCAAGCCCCCGAGGTGTCACGGCACAGACCCGTTTCCCTCGCCGGGACCTCGTGTCCTCGCCCCTCAGCTGCTGAGAGGTGCGGAAGATTGCACTCGGCTAAGCCTTTCTCCTGAACTATAGGGTCAGAGCTGCCTTCCACGCCGGCTCCCCTTCGGGGGTCGCGCGAGGAGGGGTCGGTGGATTTTCAGCCACGGACTTGCGGGCAGACTGGACCGGGGTCCGCTGGTGTTCACTTGTCAGGGTCTCCCCCTTTGATCCCCCGAATGGGGAGGACTGACGCCTCTGGCGTCCCACTCCACCTCCCGGCCCCTTTCCCGCCCTCTTTGCCCCGTGTCTTCGGTATGCCGTGTGTCCGCCTTCTCAGCCTGGGCTTTGCTGGGCTCCGTGTCTTTCCCCAGGTTTGGGGAGGGAAGAGGTCACAGCGTGGTGCTGGCCTCCCTTGCATGGGGGGTGTGTGTAGGGGTGTCGGGTTGGTGGCCGAGTCCCTGACCCCCTCGCCCAGGACGTGCCGGGCAGTGACTTCAGCTGAACTGCGAAATCCTTGACTGCAGGGGGAAGAGGGGACAGGTGTGTCCTCCCACCTCCTTCCGAGTTGAGCACTCTTCTTCGGGCTGAAAGCCAGGGTGTAAGGAACCTTTGATCTCTTGGAAAAAAAGAACTGCGTTTAAGAGTAACGTGCTCCTTTGAGCGATAGAAAATCGTGTTAGAAATAAAGTGGACTCACCAGGCAGGAGGAGGTTAATGGGACCCAGGATTGCAGGTAGCCACTGTTGGCTTATGCGGGGTGACAGGTGGTGTTTTCTGGTGTGTGTGTTTTGCAGTAAGAATCAAGTATCAACTCTCGCATTTAACTTTTTTGAAGGGACTCCTGCCTTCACAACCACGCCCAAGGGCAGTCTCAGAAAAGATGCTGTTGGAAACAGGATTTGGAAACTTTCTTTGGGTTTCCTGTCAGAATGTGTGGGGGTGGGCCTGTCAGTGCACCGCGCGGCTTTTCTTTGATGTCGTAGGTTTGTGTGATACTTTGACACGGGAAGCACTGAGTTAGGCCTCAGGTCCCCTTGCTGTCTTTCATTATGCTTTTCTCTAATACTTTCTGTTCTGAAACTTTTTTTTTTTTTTAATGCAGTGATTCGGGGAAGCTTACGTTGTTTCCTTGGTATTTCAAATTGTGTTCTTTCTTGAAACGTGCTTGGGTATACGGTGTTGAGGATTACACGTGTTTGATACTTATTGAATGAGTTGGATGATTACAGAGCTGTGTCTACTATTTATACTTTTTTATTCTCATTTTGAGAAGTACCTCATGTCAAGATTTTGTATTTCACATAGAATACATGCAACAGTTTTCAACCTTTTCTAGGCCCCAGACACCTTCCAGAATATGATAAAGTGTATGGACTGTGTCCCCAGGAAAGAAAAAAATAAAGGGCAGTCTTTGTAAAACTTTGCCTTCAGTCTCAGAGGCCTTGTGAAGCTAACCATTGACGCTTGTCTCGGAATCCTTGAGTATTACTCAGTTACGTATCCAAACTCTTCACAAGCCTTAGTTTATTTTTTGGCCTCAGGAAGGACTGTGTGTGTCTACCTTTGTCGTCAAAATTCTGGATCTTGGACAACAAGATTTAAGACTGATTGCTGTTAAAATTTTGTGGAGAAAATTTCTTATTAAAAAGTATTACTAGTCGATTTTGAGTTAATATGCTGATGGTTTCTAAAATATAAAATTTTTCTGGTTGGTCACTTTTGGCACCTTGAAAATCATGGTCCCAAAGCAGCCCATGGATTTTATTGTTCGGGTTACTTTTTAGCAGGGTGGTCATCAGTTAAAAATGTTCACAGATCACACTGTTCATTTCTCCTCATTTAAACTTTTCATGTGTATGGTTTTCACATAGTTAATAATTGTCATCATTCAAAATTAATTAAACTGATACCTATTAAATGCCAGCTTGTGGATAAAACAAAGTCCTTGCTGTCTAATCAAGAAAGACAAACTATGACAGCTAGCTGTAGAATCTGTCTGCTGATAGGAGATCCGCAAAAGGGTAATAAAGTAGGATGAAGGGCTCGAGCAGTCTGGAGAACTGGAGAGGAAGCTGGGGGCTGAGGTGTTATGCACTCTGTAGGGGAAAAGGGTTACAGCAGGAGGACTTGTACTGAAGACCCCTGAGTGTACTTGACCTTTTGAACAGCTAGCAGGCCAGTGTTATTGGCGGACAAAAACAGAGGCAAAAGTGAGAAAACCTTAGGTGGAGAAGTAGCCAGTGCCACTATGTGGTCCATAGGCCAGAGTAAGAATTTAAGATTTAAGGGAAGGGACAGGTGGGAAATCCCTGTACCTACAAAAATGTATCAAGGCAAATAACAACAATTTTGAAAAAAACAAAAATAAAACAACAACTCGGGGTTTTACTTTGAATGAGATGCGGAGCATTGGGGGAGTTTGAGCAAAGAGACCTGTTCTGACTTGGGTTTGTGAGCATCATCCTGGCTGCTGTGTGGAAATCTGCTTGGGGTTGGGGAAGCAAGAGTGAAATTGCAAGACCATCAGGAGATTAAATCACCTTCCTTTCTAAACTGTTCAGTGATTGCAAAGCAATCTTCCTGCTCTTGGATGTGTACGTAGTCTGTTCCCCTTCTCCCCTCCTCCCTTATAAAGTAACAGTGAAATCCACACTTGTACATGCAATATTTTCTCCTCTTTGGGAATATTACCTTGAGGTTCCTTTCCAGAAGGACTACTAGATCAGTATAAAGTGAAATGTTTATCTGCTGGTGCTAGTTTTGACAGTCATAGTTTTGGCTATAAGTTGGATATTAGTAACATTTTAAATACAGTTTCAGTCATAAAAAGAGATCTTTTAGATTGTTAAATTGAATTTAGCTCACATCTCTAACATTTAGCAACAGGGTGCTAATTGCTGAGCAGGGTCTCTGCCCTTGGGGCATTTTTCCATTCTGTTGTAATTTATAATCTAGTGGTTAAATAGCATCACATCTTGCTAGTGCTGTTCACTGTTATTCATGAACTTTGTTAGTGTGATTGATGATTTTTTATAATGCTTTTTTTGCAAATGATTTTAAATAAGTAATACATTTAAATGAGAAATTTCTGTTTTGCATTATGCTTTTATAATCTTAGAGCTTTGACCTCCCAGTGTTTTCTTCTTTGCAGTAAATTATGCAGCTAGTACTCAGTTGAGGACTCTCACAGTTGATTTTTTGAATTGTTGTAATTCTTTATGGTTATTCAAAAAATAGTTATACTGTTGTTTTTGTTAAGTAAGATCGGCCTTATGTCATTTGAAACGTTGTTTAGTGTGTGGAGGATGATGATATCAGTATGTTTTAGTAGAAAGTTCTACCACTGAGATGGCTTTGTTCAGCATTTCTGAATCTGGTGTGACTGAGGTTTGACATCTGTGAGAGAAGTAAATTGAACTGAGTTACCAGAAAACACCTGGCCCTGTGATACACGTGCTAGGGGCCAGTAAAAGCTCATGTGTCCAAGAATCTCTCATTGCAGACGTTCAGTCAAAATATCTCATGTGAAGCATATTTATATCTTAATATTGTGGTGCTGTTAAAATTGTGACTATAACCTTGCTTCTTCTCAGTATTCCTCTTCAGATTGAACTAACTGCTTATAAGAAGAGTTAATGACATATTTCCAAGGATTTTTTTTTTTTTTTGCACATTCTCATGGCAAAGTCACATATTTTGGAAAAGATTTGCACTAAAAATTATTTAGGTTTTCATACATTATTAAGACCGATGAAACGCTCATTTTTCTTTTGTGTGCATGAAACTTGGGAACGTGAGCAGTAATTTTTGTGTGCTTTTTACTGTGTCACAACGAAAAATGATGTGCCCCATTCACATTTTGAGTTTTTACAATGGTATGGGCTTGTAGTGAATGATTCACATTCCCCAGTCTCCTTGGCTGGCAGTTTTGAGATGACTGGTAGGGTGGAAGTTTGTCTGAAAATTAAATGATCCAATTTTTGAACCTCCCAGCTTAGCTCTGTTCATGCTCATGCTGTTCTTCTGATCAGCAAAGCAGTTGAGCAGAAGTGTGTCATGCTCTCGTTTCCGCTTCAAAGTAGGCCTGTTGTAGGTAGAAGGTACAAATGTACACACACACAAACACACCCAGAAAAAAAGGGAAATTGTGATTTTTAAGGTAGAGTTGAAACAGGAAATGATGTGCTTTTAAAAGTGGTCCAAAATAACGCTTTTAATATAATTTTCAGAAATACATGATTTGCACGTGGAGGATGAAATGCTTTGTGAAATAAACTTTAGTCATTGGACAAGTCAATGGCCTTTTTGCAAAGTACTAAGACTTACTTATTTGGGCTATATATATAGTTTGGCTAAATCTTATTTATTTTTAAGCTTTTTTTATTTTTGACAATCTTTACATTTTTAATTAGGGTAATAAGGCACTAGGGCTGTAGGAAAGTGGGAAAGACTATTATTTCCCTGTTGTTTCCTTTATATACCTGAGGAAAAGGGAATATTGAGGGAGAAGCCCCACCCAGTCTCCCACCTGCCCCAGGTCCCGGATGTGGGGGATGCTGAAATCCTTGTTCAAGTGGTTTTGATAGTTCACCAGTTATGAATCACTGCCAATCTTGCCACTCCAAGCACGATGAGGTTGTTGAAGAATC